AAAAAAAAAAAAAAAAATTCTGTTTTGTTTTATTCTTGGATCAGGCTTTAAAGGGTTAAAGCGTTATCTGACAGTCATTTATCGGTTAGGGTTAGGGTTAGGGTTAGGGTTAGGGTTAGGGTTAGGGTTCGGTTATTTTCATCTGTGGGTGAATTTAAAGGCGACCGGGCAAATATGAAACTCACCCAAAGACTCGAGGTTTTCGTTTTCGGCCTGCTTTACCTGATAAACCGAAGGGTTCCTTAATCATCCGCCAATAAAAGCTTAAACGCACGGATCCCATGGATTTCCCATCAAAGCGCCACTCAGATTTACGGCTGGCTGTTTTCCCCCTCTGAGGCCTCTCATCTAGAGATATGCGTTTGACATTGAGGCCGTTTCTCCTAAAACAGCAAAGTTTCCGTGTTTTTATAGCGATCGATGGCGCGAGCAAAAGGTCAGAGCGGAAGATTAATGTTTCTAATCTTCTAACAATCGGGATTTATTTCATTTTAAGTGGACCTGACTTCTCAGTAGTGGCTTTATTAGAAGACTGGCAGGAATGTGAGCATTAGGGTTTTCAACCTTGTTATTATAATATTTGCATGTTAAATATATTAACCCTATAATGCCAAATGTGTCATATCTGATTCATACGGTTTCTGGAGTCTTTTGGATCTGAGACTTTTTGCATCATTCAGTGGTAAAAGCTTTGCTCAAACCCCTGTTGAACACATTCAGATATACCTGATAACAGCCAGTAGAAGACTACACCAAAATACATTTTTGACTTATTGCACGCTAATTTGATCAAAATAATTTCACTTTTTTTTTCTTCATGTGTTGTTGGGGGGCCAAAGAAAGACTTCAGACTGAAAAAATCCAATATTCTTCCTATTTTTCTTCACGCTTTAAAGGGTTAGGTTAAAGGTATTAGACGCATATACAGTATCTCAAATTCTGTCACCATTTTTTTTTCTTTTTTTCCCCCTTCTTTATCGTCCAGGAGCAACTTTTATTTTGACTTTAACCCTTTAAAGCCTGATCCAAGAATAAAACCAAACAGAAAATCACTTTTTTTTGGTTCGAAGTCTTTATTTGGCCTTTTAACAAAATATGTAAAAGAAAAAACAGAAATACATTTTTTATATTAATAATTTATTACTATGCGATAAGTCCAGATTATGTTTTGTGTAGTCTTCTGCCCCCTGTTATCAGGTGTATCTGATTATGTACAATAGGATTTTGAGCAAAGTTTTTGCCATTAAATTATGCAAAAGGTGTCAGACGCAAAACATTTAAGAAACCGTATGTATGAAAGATGTTACATTTGGCATTAGATGGTTAAATTACACACAAATCGGACTTTAAACATGACGTTGGTTAATTGTCTGACCGTGTGTTGTAAGCTTTATTTTCTGCATTTTATCCAATGTAAGCTTCGTCCCGTATTAGTTTGATTGAAAAATCAAACAAATCTTGCAAGTCTTACCGGTTTCCCTGGCCCAGGATCTATAACCCTACCCCCCCCC